TACCCCAGAGAGGGTCACAGGTCCTGTAGAAGGTGCAACAGGAAGCAGATGGTTCATAGTGATTGTGGAGAAATCCCTGGCCATGGTCTGCTGCCTACTGGTTCGAGACAAATTGATGGGATGTTCCAATGAGTAGACCGTGTGGGAAAAGCCTATGCAAGGAATACAGGCAGCCACGGGAGGATGGTGACACTGCTGAGTCATGTATAGGGGGTGGAGCCATGGGGACAGCCTCTCTCTCCCCACACGCCTGCATCACAGCTTAGTGAAAGAGAGGTTGGCCCATCAAGCACTTGAATCACTGAACTAGAGAGTAATGCTCCACCTAGGCATCTTTAGGTGCCAGATGCTCCAAACGACAGAGTAGGACCCCAGCCTGGGTGGGCCCCTCACATGTGTGCCTGACACGCTTAACAACAGAGAACAACCCCAGAGAGCAAAGCCCTCGAACGGCCTGAAGGCATGGGTCTATGGACAAAGACTAGCCAAGGAGGCCTTCTGATTGCCAGCTACAATAGGCTCCAAGAAAAATTCTGACAGCGCTTTAATTCCTGCAGTGGAGGCAGTCCAAGTCCCTGTACATGTGGCACTGCCAGGGTCCCTGCAAGCCAAGCAGCTGTGTCGCCTTCATGCTCAACTCTAACCCTAACCCTAACCCTAACCCTAACGCTAACCCTAACCCTAACTCTAACCCTAACCCTAACAAATAGGGCCACCAGCACACATTATTGAGAAATAATCTAAAATAAACCTGAATGATAGCTTAAGGGTTTGTAATGTGATTCAGTGCCAGTTTGAGATAATTATCTCTTGGCCTGTATACATGAATATTATTGTTGGAACTAAGTTAATGGTGAAGGCATATGAGGTAATCTTACATATAGAGGGTATGTGGTGGGTTTATAAATGTTAGTGCTTGTTATTATGATAGATGATATACATAATGAGGCTAGACTGAAAGAGGAAATTTAACTTATTACTTTTATTTGGAGTTGCACCAATTATTTTGTTCCTAACACCAATGGATAAAAGTTTGGAAAAGCCATGGGAGTATAGAATCAGCAATTCTTACATACTTCTGTGGTAAATAAGAAGATATTGTCTTCTCTTCCTAGATTCAAAATCAGTGTTTTTTTTCTAAACTATATATACAGTATAGGGGGCCTAGAATGATTTTTGTGTTTAAAGATAGGCGTAGAAGAGGTAGGATGGGTAATGATATGAATTTTGTCATGTAAAAGATGACATTGTTGACAAAGGTCCATCTTAAGACTTTTACAGTAGTCATGTGTGGATGTGAGAGTAAGACCATAAAGAAGGCTGAGTGCCAAAGAATTGATGCTTTTGAGCTGTGGTGTTGGAGAAGACTCTTGAGAGTCCCTTGGACTGCAAGGAGATCCAACCAGTCCATCCCAAAGGAGATCAGTCCGGGGTGTTCATTGGTAGGACTGATGTTGAAGCTGAAACTCCCAATACTTTGGCCATTTGATGCGAAGAGCTGACTCATTTGAAAAGACCCTGATGCTGGGAAAGACTGAGGGCAGGAGGAGACGAGGATGACAGAGGATGAGATGGTAGGATGGCATCAGTGACTTGATGGACACGAGTGTGAGCAAGCTCTGGGAATGGGTGGTAGATAGGGAAGCCTGCTATTCTGTAGTCCATAGGGTCACAGAGTCAAGCATGACTCAGCAACTGAGCTGAAATGAAAGTTTAATTCCTCAGAATGGAGGAAGAAAACAGGGATACAGACTAAATAACAAAATTTTGTCCTTAAATGATGGCCAGCTTATGCAGGAAATTGAATAATCTAAGAAAGATTTTTAATAAAATGTCACTTGAATAAAAGAATTTTTAAACAAAAAGATCTACTCGTTAATTCCAATAAACATAAAATTTCATTCAAAAACCTAGGCATTGAAATTCTTTAAGAATGCAGCTAACAGGGCTTCTAGGTGGCTCACTCTTAAATAATCTGCCACCAATGCAGGAGACATGGGTTTAATTCCTGGTACAGGAAGATCCCACGTGTCAAGAGGCAACTAAGCCTGTAAGCCACAGCTACTGAGCCTGTAATCCAGGAGCCTAAGAACCACTACTACCAACCTACATGCCCTAGAGCCTGTGCTCTACAACAATAGAAGCCACTGCAATGAAAAGCTTGTGTACTGAAACTAGGGAGTAACCACCACTTCCTACAACTAGAGAAAACCCCATGCAGTCAAAAAAATCCAGCATAGCCAAAAACAAGTAAACAGGAGAATGTCATTTACAACTGCTGTAATAAGGGCCTTTACTGAGAATCTGTCAGGTTCTAAATAAAGTCTGAATATAAGGAGAGATAGGTGGGAAAATTTTAAACATTAAAGTCACTTTTGCCCTAATTCATTGATAAATGTAAAGCAATGTCAGTCACAACTCCAATGTCTTATGGAACTGTATAAAGCAAACAGCCAGAAAAATAAAAGATAAAACTGAATAATTGAGTTACTTCTGAAATAATGTGAAACATGGCAATATATAGCAGAAATTTTCATTGAGAGAAATAGAATAAAGAGCTGAGAAAAAGACATGCATACTTATAAGTTAACTTTTATGCTAGTTTTCACTGGAAAAATTGGTGTTTCACTAAGAAATGAAAATAATTCTATCACATATCACAGTAAGGGAAAAAAATAGATTAGGTGTAAAAAAGCCAAAACTAACACTTTCAGAAAGTTATGTAACTTTTTAATTTCAAGATAAAAGTTCTTAACATAAACTACTAAAAGTTTACAACACATACAGAACTAATGACAAGTGAAAAAAGTTTTCTCTAACACAAAAACATCAAATAAAAACAAGCAACATACAAGAAGATAATCCCTTTAAGCCAAGACATTTTCAAGGACTGTTTTCCACTTTACTCTGGCTATATAAATTTAGATGATTTAAAATCCATAGTTACTAAACAAATTATGCCTTTATATGCAGCATATACAGCAAAGCCTGGGATACAGAGTTCTATATCAAGGACGAAAACTTCCTTGTGTAGGTTTTTTCACACAGTTTCTAAAGCAACTTGATAGTCGTTATTAATACAAACCAGTTTAATGGCTAGGGTCAACAGAAAGGTACAATATTTCTTACATCACAAGATTTTTCAACAGGGAATTTTACATTTCTGGGTTAACTGCCATTTTCAAATTAAGCCAACTAAAGGAAATTGCAGGGCAGACCGATTTTAAAAATAGTAACTCCTTATACATAAACTGTAGAGAAAATTTATAGTTGAAATTTACTTTTCATTCTCTGTACTACAGAGAAATTCATTATTTTCTTGAACGTTTTAACAGGATGGGCCTTTTAATTTTGGTTATAATTTTCAGTGTTTACTCTTTAACATGCTCAAAAACAGAATCCTTGTAGCAGTGTTGGGGACAAATTTTATTCTAGGCTGCCATTCTCATTTCCTCACAAATGTTATCACTGTGATAACAATATATCCTGTCAAGGATCTTTCTTTTGCTCAAGGTTTCCAGGGCTAGGTAATACAGACACTATTTCTTATGAATCCGTTATGATAATTAGAAATTATGCTGGAAGGTTTATATTCCTCTTCAGTCCTCACAAATACTACAGCACAACTGAATGAAAAGTTATGCCTTCATAACAAATCTTACCAAAATATTAAAGAGCAGTTGCAGACTTCAGTTGCAATTTCAGAAGTTATCAGTCTATCTAGCTAAAAAATAGCCTGTTCTTTCTCAGCTTTGTACTAGGATAGTAACTTACTGCTTACTTTGTACTGCTTACCTGGACAGTATTGCCTGGTGAACTTCATGTAAAATATCAATGTCACTTTTATGCACTGTCCTTTGTCTTGAAAATGTATTTAACTACGTATTTGACTTCTAAAATGTAGAACAATCCTAAGAAATTTCTTAATCTATCTTCTGAGTTTGCCTCAAATGGTATTTTAATTTTATTGTCAATTGAACCTTTAACAAGTAAATTTCCCTTAACTTGCTGTTACTTTAATAGGAAATTGCAAATTTCTCCACTAATTGTGCAAATTCGAATTTGTCCTGTAGCTGTTATACTCGTCTCTTAAAAAAAAAAATTGATGTATTATTACTGATACTTAAATTCACCTATAAAAACCCTTAACTTTCCTTATAGATAAGCCTATACTTTTGGGTTATATCAAGCACTCCAAAATGAAGTTAAAATCAGTGTTACTTAAAACACTGGTTTTCCAACAAATCTATTACTACTAACTTTCATTAACATATATACTCAGGATACTTAACTAGTTCAGTCTCAACTTGGGTGCTGAAGTGGTTGGCACTTTTGTCATTTGCCACTTGAATGGCTAAGAAAATTGATACTTAACTTTAGACTTCTTAAACATTTTTGTCATACATCTAAATTTTCTTCTGATTTATACTATTGTTTTAAAAAGTTAGACAGAATTTCAGTAAAGATGCAAACATCACTTTCAGGTTTTTTAGAGACCTGTCAAACCTTTCATAACACTACTTTCAAAAATAACATGTAATTTTGTTACCCTAAAGAGAAAACAGGTACAGCTTGCAATGGAGAAATACCATATTGCTTAATTCTGAATGCATTCATGTGCAAACACACAAAGGGAAACTTTAAGCAAACAGCACAATTCACCTTCCAAACAAGTGTTTTTATGCTTGTTTAACTCACCAGTAAAATAAACAACAGCATTTCACAAAACATACTCTGAAAATTTAGACAATAAATTTAAAAATTTTAACTTCTACTTTTCAATTAGCAGTAACAACTATGAAATTACTTTGAATAACTCTATTTTTCAACTTATCTGAATTCTATTTTTCAATTTATATGAAAATTCATGGAGGGGAAAGTTTGCAGCTCTTCCCTCCAAAACCAATGTGTTTTCTTCAGCAATACTCAAGTATCAATTAAAAAAGAAACTCACAAAAAATTTTCCCATGCCAAGAAAACATGGTAAGTGAGTATTATTTTTAGTATCTGTTTCGGCCTACTCTTTCAGATCGGCTTCCCCCATGACCTCCACTGGAAGCCTCGCAACCTGAGCTACTGTATGACTCACGAGGAGCAAGGTACACCCTATCCTTGGAGGATGGAAATCCTCGTTCTTGTCTTCCACCATGGTCACGGCCACTTAAGTATGCATCACTTCGGCTGCTTGAGTGACTTTTCCAACCTCCTCCATATCTATGTCTTGTAGTGCTATAATCATCATAGCGACTGCTTCTGCCATAACTCGGAGGTGGACCTCCTCCTGATGGAGCATCATGGGAGCCCCCTGTGAAATTAATAATTAATAAAATTATAAAACTTTTCCCATTACTGCTATAACATGACTGTAAAGTACTACATCTTTGAAAGGATAGCCTTTATCTGCCTCTGTGGTAAAGATATGAATTAGTAGCAATGGTGAAGGGGCTTTCATATTTATTTAAAACAGCAGTATTTTTTAGCTCCAGTAGCTTAAATGTTAATTTTTTGGGAAAGACTAAAATTTTGAGCTTCCTAATGTTCCTATGCTTAATACTAATAGCACTCTTATTTTTTAAAATGTTACAATAATTTTTGTGATTCAAAAATGTGAGCTGCCAATTTACCCTTCATATCATTTTAAATGACTGATCAAAAATAATTCAAAGAACTTCAAACCAATCAATTAGGTAGAAATTACTTTTTTTTTGAGAAATTAGAAGTGAACGCATGACAATTCTAATTCTGTCATTTTTCAGTTGTAACTGTACTCTTACCATAACTCTTATATGAATCCTTGTAAGAGCCTCCACTTCGATGTTCAGAATAGTCTCTATCATGGCTTTCACCATAGCCATCACGATCACTAAATTTAAAAAAATTAATGTAGTAAGTAAGAATTTGCATAAGTTATCTGATTAAAAACAGAATTATTTATAGTACCTATGTCCTCTAGAGGAATGATCATCCCGAGAACTTGAATGACCATAATCACGGTATGCATAGTCTCTAGATGGTGGAGCATAATGCCTGGTGTCTCGTGAACTTGGATAATCTCTGCCTGAGTAACTTAAAACAAACAACAAAAACTTAAATGAAAATAATTCATTCAGAAAGGAAGTTTTAAATGTGCAAAGGATTTCAATATACTTTTCTTCAAGGAAAATATATAATGATGAACAAGAATATAAAATACTGCTTAACGTAACTGTTTTTAGGGAAATACAGTGTCTCAGTCCCAATGAGATACCTACTTTGCACCTAGTAGACAGGTTATATATATTGTTTTGTTTTTAAGAAATATAAAACATCAAGTGTTGGTGAGCATAAAGAGAAACTGAAATCCTGTGTGTGCATGGTAGAAATATAAAGTTGTGTCAGACTCTTGGTGACCTTGTGGACTGTAGCCCACCAGGCCCTCTACTGATGGGGTTTTCCAAGCAAGAATATGGAGTAAGTTGCTGTTTTCCTAATCCAGGGGATCTTCCCCACTTCAGGATTGAACCTGAGTCTCTTGCATTGGCAGGTGGGCTCTTAGCACTGCACCAGCAGTTATGGAGAAGATGTATGGTTCCTTAAAATACTGAAGTTACTGTATGACCCAGAAATTCCAATTCAGAGTTTACACTCCTAATTGAAAACAGGTACTCCAATGTTTGTACACATTAACCACAAAGATGGATAAACAAACCATGTTAACTATACATAAAATGGTAGCTAACCCCCACTCAAAAACTGAAGTACTGATTCATGCTTCAGCAAGGATTATCTTTGAAAACACTCACACTAATGGAAAAGCCACATATTAAAGGTCACATATTGTTAGGGCTTCCCTGGTGGCTTAGTTGGTAAAGAATCTGCCTGCAATGTTCAATCCTTCAGGAAGAACCTCTGCAGAAGGGAATGGCTACCCAATACAGTTTTCTGGCCAGGAGAATTCCACGGACAGCAGAGCCTGGCAGGCTACAGTGAACATATGAAATATTCAGGATCAGGTAAATTTACAGACACATGACATAGGTGGGTGTTTACTAGGGACACAGAGGGACACAACTTAGTGACTCAACACCAAAGGAAAAGGTGGCCATGGCAGCAAAGTTAAGTTTTCATAAATGTGCAGCGGGGTTCCACCAAGCTATCTTAAATCCGCGAGCATAGACATTGTTTTCCTGGTCGTTGAAGGCAGTCTATAAAACCAGAACTGAGACATACATTTTCAACATGTGGCCAGTCCTTAGGTGGAACTTATGACTCTCCGAGCAATGGGAGCTCCTGAGACAATTACTGGTAGGAAAGAGGTGAAAATAAAAGGTTTGCTGATATGGCACCCAGCCAAATAAAGGTTTCACTCACCTTTCATGCGCCCTGGAAATCGGACGTCGAACGCTTTCTCAAAATCCTCCTCGGACATCCAGCAGCCCAGCTGGCTGAGGCCGGTTTTGGGGATGGGCACCATATCTCTTTGCTCTCGAGTGATGATGACCATCTTGCTTTCAACTCTGGCCGCATCCCTGGGGCCTGTGAGAGCCACCCGGCTACAAAAATATAAAATAAAATGAAATAAAATACAGAGGTTAGGGGCTTCCCTAGTGGCTCAGTGGTAAAGAGTCTGCCTTGCAACGCAAGGGACACAGGTTCGATTTCTGATCTGGGAGGATCCCACCTGCCATGGAGCAACTAGGCCCTTTCACCACAACTGTTGAGCCTGAGCCTGTGTGTAAGAGTGCAGGAGCCGCAACTACTGAAGCCCCCACACTCTAGAGCCCGTGCTCTACAACACGAGAAGCCACCACAATGAGAAGCCCTGGCATTGCAACTAGAACGTGGCCCCCCGCTCTCTGCAACTAAAGAAAAGCCCTTGCAGCAACGAAGACCCAGCACAGCTGAAAATAAATAAGTAAAGAAAAATTGAAAACACACAGGTGGGGATTCGAGAAGTGCTGGTATTCTGCATGGCATCTGCTCCCTAGGTTCCCTCAGCCATGGACCTTTCAGGAAGGGGACGGTTTTCTCATCATCATGTTCTTCCCACACCTGGCAGGTACCAAGGGCACTAAGGATGCGCCATCGATGCGGACACAGCCACATCCACTGGGACGTGGTCAGAGGGACACTCACTAGACCAGAAGTTAGTGCCTTAGGACAGGGATGGTCAGACCTTCCTTTCAACTGGGCACCTGGTTTGCAAACAGAGTTTGCCCATGCCCCTGCACTGATGACTTGGGCTGCTCTGCAAACGTCATAAAATTAAGTCTACATGGTTCTGGCTCTTTTACTAAGTTTTCCAAGAGCCTGCAAACCACACAGCCGCACCCCGGCTATGCTGAGGCCCATGTTCTCCTCGTTCCACCTGCGCCCTGGGTAGAGAGAAAGGCCGAATGCCGGGGGGCAGAGCTGTGCTCACCAGTTGTCATACTTCTTCAGCCTCTTGATCACACCCTCCTCCTCCATGTGGCTCAGCAGCTGCCGGTTCTCCTCCTCGGAGCCATCGCAGATGTGGACTTGGTCAGGCCGGCACAGCTTGTCGCTGCTCTCCCCGAACTCGCTCAGAGCCTGGGGCAGGCTGTCCAGGGAGCCCCGGATGATTTTGGCTGAATAGTTGAGGCCGTCTGAGAGCTGAGGGGGCATCTCTGCAGAGCTGGGCTGTTGGGGGGGCACGGATGCTGAGGTTCCCTGCAATAGAAAAAGCACAGTTTTCATGAACAAAGACAACCAAGGATGCCGTCAACTCCACGCACTTTGTCGGGGTCACCGTCGTGGCTGGGAGGAAAAAGAAAACCAGTTCCTATTAGTGCTGAAGTTTGTTAGAAACGTATGTGAACAGGCTCTGCCTACCCTTCTTCTCTTTGGATGATCAGGTCAGAGGCCCAAGGGTCTCTTGCAAGGCCCTTCCCACGGGTGAGCGTGCGTTCCCAGTGGGAAGGCCCTGTTTGGGGTTTGGAGGCAGAACTTCCTGGCCTTTAAATTCCAAGAAGGAGAGAGGCCCCGCCCCTCAGCCACACCCAGAGAGGCTCGACTCTGACGTCAGGGGCTGGTCTTTGGGTCAAGGCCACGATCAGTTATGCTTTGGACTGGCTCACCACAATAAACCCAGGCAGATAATCATTGAACAGACAGTCGTTAATGAGTGCCACGTGGCCTACGGCCCCTGGACCAGCCATGACAGGCCCTTACACAACTTCTGACTGATGGAGCTCTGCCCCATTCCCCTGAAAAATGAAAAACACACGCCCTCCTGTTGAAGGGAAGGGTGGGAAGGTGCAGAGGCTCGTGGGGGACCTCAGGGATTTTGGCAGTGCATGTTGTGTACAGATGGTTGCTGGTTGGCAGAATGCGGCAGTGGTGAGGCGTTACCCCACGGTCAAAGGCCCACGGGAAGAACACCCCCAAATGCGGGATGGTGCCCGGCTTATTGCCAACTGTCTGACCTAATTAGGGGCTATTAACCTTATAGAGTGTCCATGGTGTGCCCCCTGCCCCCACCCCAAGTATAAATTCCACAAGGGCAAGGATCTCTGTCTATTTTGTTCCTCTCTGTATGCACAGCTTCTGGCGCTCAGTAGGTGCTGAATGTAAGAGCACTTACAACAATGCTCTGCACTGACTAACTCCTTGACCCTAAATGGAGCCCACAAGCCCCCCTGTGTACAGACAAGGACGCTGAGGCATCAGGGGTCTGGCGACTACTCCCCAACCCCAGGCTGGTGGGTTGCAGAGAGGGACTGGAATGCTGGCTGCTGAGCTCCGGAGTACCCCTTGTAAGGGAACTTTGCCCCTCCTGGAACCTTCCACGTATTGTCCCAGGAGTTCTGGGCTGGGTGCAGTTATTTCTGGAGTCAACTGTACACTTTTTGGTGCCCTTGCAAATCCTAGCATCCAGGGAGTGGAGGGGGCTTGGCAGTTTTGCTCGATTACACTTGAGCAATGAGACCTTCATAACAGCTGTAAAAAAATTTGCTTTGCAAGCCATCAGAAGATCAGTCCAGTTTAATGAGCTATGGAGCTACCGGCTAACGTTTCGAGAAGACTAGGTGAGAAGTCGGGAGAACAGGGCCAGGTCCCAACCGCCAGCAGCCAGCCCCCCAGCTCAATGGGCGTCCTCTCACTGGTGGAGGTCAGTGGAGTGTGAGCCGAGATGGCTCTGTGACTGTGTCTCTGAGGAGCTGTGACAATCACAAGGCATTGGGAGCAATAAGCTCACACCAGGAGTTCTCTGAAGACCATCCTATGGGACTTTACTCCCACCACCGTGTTGCATGTACACACGTCACCAACTTGCACCAAAATTATCAACCCATTGCTATGTTTCATTTATTCAGATTTTGTGTGTGTGTGTAACATATGGCATTGTTTGTAAAAGCCAAAACTGGAAACAAGCCGAATGTCCATTAAGTGGGTAAGGAAACTGTGGGGCATCTATACAGTATATAGTACATGGCTATAAAAAGAATGAAGGTATGAATTATGAATCATGAAATAATTATGCAGCATTGAGGGAAAGCACAATTTTTAAAAGGTAAACATTTTTATGCTTCCCATCATATAAAATTATACAAAACAAACTAATTTACAGTGAAAGTGTAAATCAGTAGTTGCAGTGAGGGCAAAAGGAGAGATTTTTAAAAGGGTACAAGCAAGTTCATTTATTCAGACTTTTAATACAGCCAATTGAATCTTTCAGTGTAAGTACAACAGGTGCAACAGGAGATGTTTCTGTTCAGTTTAAAATCATTTGCCTAAATGGTCACCGAAATTCATTCATAGCAATGCTGTCAGCCAAGCAGAAGTGTGTCCCATCTAATTCCCACCAAAACGTAACACTCCGAACAGTCCGTTGCTGGGGACACTTTCTGAGCATCTGACATC